AGCAAGTTCTGTGTTCTTTACCAAGTTTTCCACTGTTGAAGTTAGGTAATATTTTCATAAAAGTACTAATGTCCAATGTGAATCCACTGAAGTTGAATGATTTGTAATGTTCAAAATTTATAAACATTCCTGGTCAATATATCTGAAATTCCTGATTAATAAACGTTAATCACAATTATAGCTTCCGAGGTTTATAGCATACCAGCTATTGGACACCTATAATAGATACTGTTTTTGGCATGTTTTGTTGGTTATATGTATAAGCATGTAGAGAGTTTCTCAAAAATTCAGATTACGTAACAATACAAAGCTAAACCAGTGTTTACGTACACACACATATTGTTGATTCTTACACTTGAGAATCTTTTACAACTTTAGAGAATTTTTATGTAATAACTGTCACATGTGTAAATAGTTATTTCTATATGTTGTATTTACTTACAGCACCTGGAGTAATGACTGAACCAGTAATAGAAATTTTGAACACATCAGCTGTGCGTTTGCATTGGGTCCCTCCAGATGAACCTAATGGTCCAATTGATCTGTATATGTTACATGTTAACACAGGAAATACCACAGATATTGGAAAGAAAGTGTATAGTATCTCAAATATTTCTGGTTCTGAGACTTTTACCTACTTTTGGCCAGATTGTGCAGAATCTGACAGTAGTAAAGTATTTTCTTTCAAAATTCAAGCAGTCAACATTAAAAACCAGAGCCTACTTAAGAGCCCCCTCAGCAATCAAACAGAAACCCGACTGTGTGGACCAGAAGGTAACATATTTTCTTCAATGTTTTTACCTCATCTAATTACGTATAAATTTTAAAATTTGAATACATTAAATTTTTTCAATCCAGGATGAGAGTTACAAACCTTATTGTTATTTATAATGGCTGGAGACAGCTTAAATGGGTAATGAAGAAAAACTTTAATATAAGTTTAACATGACAGCAAATGTACAACGTTTCGACAAGGTTTTGTCATCTCCAGCCATTATTAGTCTCAAAGTGGGTTCCTCGTCATCGAATTTGGACTTATTGTTATTTGTTACCTTTAGCTTACTTTTTATCATGCTATCTAATCTAATTAAACTCACCTAATTGTTTTATACAAATGCTGGAATAAAAGTAGATTTTATATAATAAATAAAGTGCTGATTTTCAAAAAATTGTTTATAAATGGAACTTGTTTAAAATTTAGCAGAAACTGTAGAAAATTACTTTCAGCCAAATAGACTGTAACAAAACACACCCTGATGACATGATTTTCAGTTTAGCTAGCGGCAAAGTGAAAATAAATTTTCTAAATGTCATAATTGATCTGCTATAGTTCAGCCACTAGAATAATTATACAGCTAAAATAAAAACATATATTTTTTATTTGTGAATTTTATTTTATAAATAAAAACTTTTAGTTACAGGGACAGGGTATATTGTTGTGTTAATTTAAATTCTTACTCTCTAAAAGCTATTTTATTAATTTATTAATATGAAATTCTGTAACATGTTTGATTATGGAAATTACAAAGAGTGCATATCTCATCATAGTAGTCAATACGAAGTTTTACCAAGGGTTTGTTACAAATTTTGACAATCTTTTCTTATTTAATTACTTCACACTTTACAGCACTTTTTCAAATTCTCAGCTTTGATTGACTAAATAGCAGCTGGCAAGAGAAGTAAAATTTAAATAAAGTTAATATCTGTCTATCTGTTTTGTTATTGTTAATTTTTTACATTACTTTGCATGTAATGTTTTTGATAAAAGAAATGAAGACAACATATAGCACTCAATACTCACCTTCCTTTATGAAATCATTAATTTTTATCAGAAATACTTTATTAGAAATTCTTATTTTTTCTGTACAAGAGACTTGTATTGTTTACGGAAAGCTTGGCAAATTTTCATATCACGGCTTCACGATAAAATACACAAATCATATCGCTGTAGCTCTACACTTTTAGAAATTACCTATGGTTCTTGTATTGTATTACTGTAAGTGGGTTAGCAGTTTGACAGAAAGCAGTAACAAAAACACTGATCAGTGGTTGCATCTTGAACAAACATAAAAACATTTAAAATAACAAGGTTCAATATACAAATAATATTTTCAGTGTAAATCATATTACTTGAATAATATCTCAAACATTGTGATTTCCCAAATACAGAATGGAAGTGACAACTATCTATATTAATGCACTATTTTAGAGTGGTGATTATATGAATTTTGGTGCTGAAGAAAGGCTACAAAACATTTATAGTCATATTTACTTGCAAAAACTTAAAATATTTGTATAATGGACATAAACTGATGTATGATATAAATACATACATACTTTTGTGTTATATTAATACTTAAAAACCTTTATTGTTACAGGTATTTAAAAATATGTTAACGAAACCACTAATTTGTTAAAACTTTGGTTTGTTCTGACATGCTTTACATTCAGTAGAAATAACCGGGAAGTGATGCATCTGACCTTAAGATGATAGGAGAATCTGTTTGATTAAATTATATGTACACAATACCAAAAAATAAAGTATTAAGAAATCACAGTTACTTGTGAGAATCAGTATTAATATCATTTCTGATATTATCATTGTCAGTTCACAATAGAAAAATATTATCCCATGAAACAACTAAACCTTTGACTTTCACTATAATATGCAAGTACTGAACATCCATTGTTTCTTTCAACATTAAATTATAGATCCTTCTGTATTGATTCTTACATAAAATACTGAACTCTCAATTCTAACTAACATGTTAATACTAAACTTCTAACTTGACATGAAAATATCAAATCCTTCATTGAGTGAATTAATTTTGTCTAAAATTAAACCAAATGACAGCACTTTCAGTTACTTTTTAAAACATTTTCAGTGGTTCACCCTGTAAATAATTTGCACTTTGCATATTGAAATTAACAGTTGCTTGAGATGAAACACTTTAAATATTCTCTCTGGTTGATACCCTACAAGTGTTAATGTCTCTATTCTTAACATCAGATGTATGAGAGTTTCTAGTTTCACAAGAATGGAAACATGAAGTAAAGCTTATTTCACAGATGTTAAGATTTGTTTGTTTGACATATTTACAAATACAGAATGATTGTTTTATTCTGTTTCCACAAATTTTGAATGCAGTTCTATATTGTCCTAGTATGAAAAAAGTGTAAAAGGGAGTCTATAAGTAAAAGTACTACAAGTTGATTTTAGTTCCTAACAGCTTTTGGCATCTTGAAAGAAACATCCACTAGGATGTATGTAATAATGGCTGTATCTTGTTTGTGTATAGTGTAAAAGATGAATAGTATATCTTTAAATACAATAAAGTTTAATTTGTTTAATGTTAATTATTTTAATATCAGATTTCATTGCACATGTTTATTTCAGGGCCTGAAGCAATATTGGTAATTGGTATAGTAGGTGGTAGCTGTCTTGGCCTTATTATGTTGGTGTTTGTTTTATACGCTTTAGTGAGATGGTGAGTATAAACTGTATCATATTAGTTGCATTAACATTTCAGAAAATCAAGTAAAATTATGTAAATAAGTTCTCTGAACATATAGTATAATAACTTATTTTTTTAATATAACGTATTTAATGATAAATATGACTTATGTTTCAACATTACAAGGTTTAATGCATGACAGATAGAGAGAACTTTTACTTACTGTTACTATGAGCTTTACAGTGATAATATAGGTCTTTTGAGTGTGTCATCTGATTTTAGATGTATCTAAATATTTCATGTAGGATGAAGAAGAAGGTTGACTGGATGAACAAGATAAAGGTCCAATTACCTAGTGGACTGGATGCACCACACTCGGTAGGGTTCTGTTACCCATTTCAAATAAATACAAGTGCTACTAAAAATGTTATAAAAGGCAGTAGAGCTCAAGGCAGTCTTATGTGTTTAGTTGTGCATTTGTACCCTATGAAACTGTATATTTGATCTGGTGATCAGTCATGGGTACATGGTACACATGCACATTTGTTTGTATTGTAAAAACAATAAATACATGGCCATTAGAGAATAGTTACTGTATATATACTATTTTCAAGAATTTAATAAGAAGAAACTCATGGAGCAAGTTATAAAATTTAAATTTTTTTTATTATTAATCACTACTTGAAACCAATGAACTTAGAGTTTCTGTTGTTTAATTCATCGACAAAGTTAATATACTTGGGTAGAAGATGGCTACAATAGAAATTTTACTCTGATCAAGAAAACTGAAATATTGTGAGGTAGACTGAAATGTGTATTCCTTCGGGTACAAAACTGTTTTAAGAATGTTTAAAAGTTAAAAATGTGATTTACTTACACATACAGATATTTCGAGCTTGAATCAAGCTCTCCACAACAGACACAGCACAGATAGCCTGAACTTTGTTCTTAACAACAGACAAATAAACATTATTTTTACCATACTAAAATGAATTATTTGCATTGGATTGTAAAATTTTAGTTTCAGAGAAGAATTGGAATAATATTTGAAACAATACTTGGATGTAAGTATACAGTGAAAATGATATAATATATAAACCTATTCTCTGCTATTAGGCAGATGCTGTAAAAAGATTGGGTCCTTTCAGGCTTCATTTCATTGTTGTTGTATTTTTAAGGCTGCTAAACAATACAAGATAATGAATACAATAGGTTTTACTGTGACGGGTGTTGCTAGCTGCGTACTTTCCCTCTTGTCAAAATTAGCAGTGGCTATACCTTACCCTTTGGGATTTTTGGCTTGGCTGTTTAGTCTAAGTACATATAAGGCTCTGTTTAAATTGAAAATTTCAGTTAAATGAATGACAACAACCTGTAAAATTCAATATGTGGTTTAACTTGGTTATCATAATTTATTAATGTAGTTTAATTTCATTGTTGGATCAGGTTTTCACACAAAAAATAAAACAATTTCAAGTGTACATACTTAATAAATATTTGCAAGTAAAAAAAAAATTTTTTTTAAATTAGTAAGCTCTTAGATATTATAAGATATCTAAAGAAATTATAGTGTTAGATTTTAATTATCACTGTTATTTATGCTGATTTCTTCCATAAATTGGGTTCAAAAGTCAGTTTGGGAACTTCTACTTAAATTAGATCCTGAGGCAATGCAATTGTCTGCAAGATGTGAATAATACAGGTTATGTTCTTGAAAGTGCATATAATGTATATTTGAGAGCTAAATGTTACACTATACTTACTATGTGTTTATATCTATGTATGTATGTTATGCATAAAGAATTTATTGCTGCTAATCCAATCCTTCCTTCTCAACAGCATACATTTAGTGACTGTCAGAAGTTTAAAAAAGGCCTGATTAGAAATGATAGTTATCCTAATAAGAGTCCTACGTTTGACCATCTCAGTTCATTTTCTGATATAGCTGGTTTTACAGAGAGACAAGGGTCACTCAATTCACACTGTAGCAGTTCTTCGACTGATGAGGTATATGTGTGTGTGTTTTTGTATATGAATGGCTTGTTTGTTTTTTTGTCCTAGAGTCAATTTTAAAATGTATGCATTTTGTTAAAAGCTGAGAATATTGCAGTGTATAATAATTGAAATGTGACTATATTTTACAAAATACTAGTCCAATAAAACACAGCCAAAACAGGTAACTGTGTTAAGACTAAACATCAGTTTTATATTATTGGATACAGTAACATAAGTGCACGTGTGCTGCATCATTGTAACTTCTGTATTGTTTGCCAGGCACAGCTTATAGGTCTATATAATAAAAATAATAAATATATATAAATGTACATTGTTATGAGATTTAAACTATTTAGTTTAAACACTTGTGTTTTCGTGTTATAATTTGTAGTCATTCTGGAATGAAAAAGGCATAACTTATATTTATTTCCTAATATTTTATGGTGGTTAAGAGATAGGTCAAATCGACCGAACCTGTACAGAGATTTGTTAGTGAAAATAACAGATAAAATATAAAGTTTTTTCTTAAGAAATGTTTGATAACTCTCTGGACGTTATAAAGATTTTGCATGTTGGATAGGCAACATGTGAAAAGATAAAAGACATGAGAAAAACATTGCTCAACAAACCATAAGACTAAATAAAAAAAATCTGATATTTTGCGTATGAAAGCCTTGTAATGTTTTCTGATAATCTGCTAAATTTCGTGAACATATGCTTACTAACTTAAATGTTATAGCATGAAAACTATAACAAACACAAAATGATTACGAGGGGCCGAGCCTATGCTGAAAGAGTTAATCAGAAGCATCTGATTAGAGTTCATTCTGTTGCTGAATGGGGAATTTTGGTGATATTCATGAATATTTCTCACTTACAATGGAAACTGTTGTATTATATTACTTGATGAATTAAATTACTTTTTTATCAAATATAACATTTAAATATTTTTTAATTTTAAGTTAAGTAATATCTTGTTTGTCTTCATTATTTACTGTCTTTGCTTTTAGTCTCTCTCTCTAAGAAAATAAATATGAGTTTATAATTAGTATCTTTTGTTTTTAGTTTTTTTAACAGCATAAATGAGAACATTATTTTTATATTCAGCTAAAAGTACATTTAATATTTGTAGCTTCTACAGAAGAAGTCAAGGCTCTGTGACACACACAGAAAAAAACACAAAAACAGGACCGACTTGACTTTGCAAGATGATCATGAGAGTATTAACCACACTCATCTCTCAACGGATTCTGGAACAGAAATTGATATCCTGCCACCCATGTCTCTTGGAGGAGATCATTCTGAAGGAACTGATCAGATGCTCTTGTCTTGTTCTCAACCGAGTCTCCCCGATTTGGGAGAAATTGAGGATGCTGATAGTAGGGATTCAGGTTTGGATCATGATCATGTGGATGATAAAAGAAAGGGGTTCCATCACTCACACAGTGATGTTCAGCATCCCTACAGCAGATTCAGTCAAGATACTGAGTACATTTCATTTCAAGATCAAAACAGTAATTTAACTTCAAGCCATCATCTTGCCATTAGTGAGCCTTCTGTTCATGGTGAGGAAGAAGAACTAGTTCAAATTATCCCTTATTACTCAAGGTTTGATTTAGCTAAGAGTGTTGGAAGTATAATTGAAGAGAACAGAAACCCACCATTTATCCTGGATGAACATCAGCCAGGAGCAGTAAGCTACTCTAAATTTGGTGTAATGCACCCTATGAATCAAGGCAGAGAAAGAAACCAAACAGCTAATTTAATTTCAGATTATTCTAGATCTTTCCCTGTTTCCCAAAGAAAACCCTTGAGCTATACAAGAAGTCCAAACCAACCTGTATCTAAAGGCTATGTTAGCATGAACCAGGCTAAAAACTTCACAGTTCCAAATGTTATGGAACAACCTAATAAGTCAGGTTTGTATTTAAAGCTTGGAGTTGACCCAGAAGTTACAGAATCTTTTCCTGCTTCATCTGGTTATGTTTGTGTACAGAATAATTTCAACTCACAATCTCTACCAGAAATAGACAAAAGTACCAGATTTGGATTGGATGTGGTACTTGAATTTGATGATAAGTCTCCAAATCTAAAGACACCAGGGAATGATGAAAGTTTGCTCAAGCAAAGCACAGATTGTCTTGACTGTGGAACATCAGAATCATTCCCATCAAAGAATAATAATTGTGATGATATAAAGTCACCTACTCCACTCTTGGATGAAGCTAATCTCAGTAGCAAAAATAACATTGATCGACTAAATGGTATCTTTCCAGCTAAAGGATATATACAGTGTAATATTCCTCAGTACAGTGGAGTAAATGAACATGTTGAAGAGTTGGATTCAGGGACTCCAGAGTGGATGAGAACACTTAATGAACCAACTAATACAGTTGGAGCTTCTAATGTTCTGGAGAAAAACTCTGGCTATGTTCCACACTTCCATCCTAATCATTTATCAAGTGATGTGATTCCCAAGAACTTCTCTGATAATTCCAGGAATGGTGGATATGTACCTTGGGGTGATTCTGTTCAAAATAAGAATAAGCAAGAGGAGAAAGATAACAATACAGAATTAGTGGTTGGTGTGAATGAATCAAAAGAGACAACTACATTTGGTGATTTAGTGATTTAAAAACAATATTTGAACTAAAATAATTTGAACATTTTGTGAGCATTTCTCGTACTTGAATGCTTTATTGTATGAAATATTTGCAACAACTGCATGGTTGTTGAAGTTGAAACCCTACAAACTGCCAGGAACCACAAAGAGTAATATTAATGATTGGTACAAACAGTTGATGTAATTAAGGAGTAAGATAAATTGTTCTCCAAGATATTGTGCTTTACTAGTATGTTTCAACACTTCTAACTCTTAAGATTTTGTAGAAAGGCAGATTAATGGCAACTTGTAGGTTGAGCAGAGATATAATGTGTTTAAGCATAAGGTATTTTTATATGTGAATGGTATCTAAAACATGGTTTCAAAATATTTTGTTAGAATTATACCTGTGAGAAAGTATTATTTTGTAAACGTGCGAGAAGTCTTACATTAATATAAAGTTGATGAATTGATTATTGCTGAAGTTTTTTTGAATCATCAAAGCACTTGCTATACATAGTAACTGATAAGTAAAACCCATCTAGCACTCACTATCTCTTGTCCAAGCTATTTCTTACTTCATTTGTCTTTGAAATATTATAATTAGTAAATATATTTATGCTTTGAAATTGCATGTTTGTAACATAATCTTGTAGAGATAGTGCCAAAGTGGCTACTCACCACCACAGATCAAAGAAGTATGTGCCTAATTTTAAAATCCTGAGTTACCAGTAAATTACACACTTCAGTGTTTATTGAACATTTTAACTTATTTCTTCACAGAAGAGGTTAGCAAGATGATTCTTTAATCAAATGTCCAATGGATTGATCCCATATTGGAGAAGGAATGTTGAATATAATACCAATTTTTACTATGTATATATACAATGAAATATACAAGTCTGTTGTACACAAAAAACCAGATGTGTTACAAAAATGTTTGTACTTAAGATATGTCTGTGAATTGATGACATCAGTCTGGCTCAGACTCTGACAAATCAGAGTGCAAGGTGATGTTCACGAAGAATAAAAATACTTTTGTCTATTGCACAGTTAACATATTTTATTTGCACAGCCTCTAGAACCTCCAAAATGCATATGTACTTTTTGTTTTAAGTATCCCTATATATCCTTTCTGGTACTTACTCTCATCTACCATGAACTATCACCTAATCAGCAATGTAGGGAAAATAAATAGTTGATAACTTTAACATCAGATACTGAATACCATCTTGAATGGCACTCTGTAAAAGGTTGTGGCATGCACACTTTAACTCTCACCCATGCATATAGTTAAACTGCTAAAGTGAATAATGGACATACTGTTAAAGTTATACATTTATTAATAAAAGAAAGAATTACCTTTGAAAACACTAGATGCACATTATTTAGTTATACATTTCATTATTTGCAAAAAAAAAATTAAAGCTACTTGAATTCTGCTTTAAGAGATGCACAGTAGAAATGATGTTTCATTTGAAGAACTAATGACAAATGAGAAAATAACACTGAATTTTGATAGTGTTTTCTTTATTGAAAATTACAGAAGTGATTGTTTTAATCATAAAGATTCTGAGGTTAGGAAAATAAGTGAGGATGAAATCTTTGATTTGATTTGACCAGCTTTAGCCTGTTGATTGTTTATCTTAGGCCCACTGCTCTTGGTGTAGCAATAACAAAGTGAATTCTTTTAGTCTGATGTGTTACTATAATTTCACTATGCAAAAGTTTACTGATGATAATATAATGTAACATTGCGAGTTAATAGATATGTTATCCATTTATTGTATAATTGAAGTTACAAAGATCTGACCAACCACCCAATGTTTAAACAACTCTTACCAGTTTGCTCATTGTTTTCCTTAAGTGTATGTGAATTCCTCTAAATAAAGGAAACATGTTCCTGTACTAAGAATATTTGAATTTTCAACATTTGTATTGTGCAATACAACTAACAGTGATGAGATCTCATTATAAGAGAACATTCACTTATCATTGTGGGGTTTCTATGTTGAATAATATAAATATAGTAGTATGTTTTTGTTTTATTAGCAACTCTAACCATGGATATTTAATGCAACAATTTTTTCCTGTGTAAAATGTGATAAATACTTAAAACTGAATATTTTTTCACCTGTCCTCAAATGTGATATAGGAGAGTAATTCTTTGTTTTTCTTTAGTAAAAAACAACTAAATAGAATGTAAGGTATTTTACTCTGAAGTTATGATATTTTGTTAAAAGTATGTTATTTCTTGTACTGATAAGTCAAAACTAGATCTTTGTGAATGAAATATTTTGTAATGAATCTTTTTTGTATGCCTGTTAAAACTTTTTATATATGTTCATGAAGTGGTATTTTTTAAGTGCTCTATGCAACATAAAATTAAAAAATATGTTAACTCCATTTTTAGGTATAACTTGTTCTAATAGCAAATACAAAGACATTAAGCAGGGTTGACTTGGAAGGAGAAATAAATGTTATTGAAAGTCTGGAATTTTTCAACCTGTAATTTCATAAGTTATGTCAGGTGAAAGGTTATTGCTAAAGTTTGTTTCTTTACACAGCTACGCCAGTGTTAGCTGTATTAAGTGTTTGTATAGAGGTCTTAAGTTTATTTTGAAAAGTTGACATCACATTTTCTTCCTTACTTGATCCTGGTACACTTCACCAACTAATTTGACAGTTGTTCGAAGTATAATTTGTACAATACTTTTTGGGGACAGGGATATATAAAAATCTCATACTTCAATGGCAAATGTACTAAAATTACTTTACCTGTAAACATGTCTTGTTTCTTTACTACTTATATGCATAAAGGTGTTTATTTAGCTCATTGAAGGTAATTCAGATTGGTCAGTGATTACTTTTAATAACGTGTACTTTCTGTGTAAGAAATAAACAGGATAGCTAATTCATGAAATGCTTTTGGAAAGTTATAACCAATAAACAGTAGAGACAGAGTTATGGGCGTCCGCAGGGAAGGGAGGGGCAAAGGGGCACCCCCCTCCTGCAAAATGTGAAACATAATTCTTTCTTTATTCATTCAGCATATGTATATGAACTTTTTATTCACTTCACAATTTCACACTACATTGCCCACCCCCCTGAAAAAATTTCTGTGGACGCCCATAGAGAGAGTAATAGGAATAAAGTATATGTGAGCTTATGTGATTTTTCGAAATTGCAACTAATAAACAGTAGAAGTAATAAGAAAATTATGTACTGAATTGAATTTTGGAAACTATAGCTAAATCAACACTATAGAGAAAAATAGGGGAAATGCATGTGAGCCGAAATTATTGTGCTAAATTAATAAATTTATTTATAGTTACAAAAAGTGACTTAAACAGAACAAAAGTGTTTTTATTGCCATTATAAGTACTATTTGAATAATATTAGTTTAGAGTAAAAATATGTCTTTTAATGCTTTTAGCCCAACGAACTTGCCCCCACATGTAATATTTAGAAACTAGACACTTACCCCGGTCCCAAGTTCCCCGAGAAGTTTTTCCTTACCATGCTTTACTAAAGAAAATTAAACATAAAGCCGGCATACAACCATTAAGTACAATACCAACTAAATAATTTTAAGACAATACAAAATTTGCATTTTCGTATAAAGAAGATGATATAAACTTGGTTATACTGACATTGTTAATATTAAGACGTACCCTTAAGTACAAGACTGACTAAACAATCGTCAGATAATACAAAAAATTTGCATTTTCGTGTATGTTGTGTGTGATTAGAAGACATACTATAAAGTTGGTTATACTGACAATGTTGATACTTCGTTTGTGTTGATGCAGTTCAACTATATTCCATTCATACGTTGTTTTAACTCCAAGAAATCATTCAACTTACAATGATACTAGATGCTTAAAACAACTATTCAAGGAACTTGTTTCTTAAAATGACATAATCTAACATTTTTTTTTATATTTCACTTAGATTTGTTGGTGGAAAATATTTTGTTCAAATCGGTAATTTTAAGGCTGTATTTAATTTTTACAGACCAAAGACTTATTATTATTATTATTATATAATCAGCCCCCCCCCTTTTTTTAAAGTTTTTATCGATATACAGTTTATTTCACATATTTTTACTAAATTTATGTCCTTTACACATTGTATTAGGAAAAATAAGTGTATATACTTTATCAGCACCGTACTTAGAATAAGGTATGTCTCTTTCTTCCTTTTACTGAACGTTTTTAAATTCGAATTATTCAGTTTTTCACTTTGTTATTTGATGTACGATTTTAAAATGGATTCGGAGATCATGTGTTGCAGTGACTGCTTCTAAAGCGTAAAGATCTTTGATAATCACACAAAAAGCTGTAATAGTCAAGATTAAAACTTTTTACAACAAAAAGTTTATACTTGTATTTCTTTCCCTTGATGGTATTTAAAAACACTAAATTAACGCACACCGTTTACAACATGGTGATCTTTTGAGATTTGACGTGAAGAATTTATCTCGAAAAATTAAAATTCTTGTGTAACCGTGAATTAAAACTTATATTTAATATCGTGAGTCAGTCACTTCAGTTAAACTAAGGTATCTATTTCGTGAAGTATGAAATTACAATGCATTTTCGACACAGGCATAAAAGTAATTCTTGTCAACTGAAGTAATTGAAGAGGAAGGATTATTCTAGAACGATCTTGGCGTGGACTAACCCCATCGTAGAACTCAAGATTTCGGAACTGTCGAGACGAATTCGAATTTGTGCGATACCACTAAGTATTCGGCGCAATTTACGCTGTGGATGGGTCATAAGAATGAAAGTCAATCCCGTAGCGTTGGTGGTAGGGTACTGTTGACTGTATGCTTTACTTCTGGTCAATAGTTCAAAATTAGAAACGGCGGCAGATAGTAGATTTGTTATGAATATAAGTACAATTCGAACCATCTGAACTTTTATGTGTCTTGAAATAGGTATTTGAGAGCACATTAAACATGGTGTTTAAAGTACGTTTGACATTTTCTTTCTTTATTCACCCATGGATCAATCTATTTGAAAATTGTGTTTTTAAAAAAAAGTCAAGTACTTAATTTGTGCAAGTTTAATCCAGGATGAATGAGCCTACCAACTTAGATTCTTCAGTATTCTCCTCGTTCATAATTATAAATTCATCTGAAGATTATTTTACATTAAAATGGTTATAATTCCATTCTGAAAGTAAATATATGACCTAAGAGATTGATCATGACAGTGGCGTAAGAAGCATTAATCTTAATAAAGTCATTTCCTTTGATCACCAGAAACATAAACCGTAAAATATCTCACATGTGAATTATTGAACACAAATATGGAACGAATTATATCTTATATATGTAGAATTTATGGTTTCAGTGGAAATACAAATAATGCATCTTAGTTTTTAATTTATATGTTGAAAGTGGTGAAAATAAAATTTATCATTCAATCACTCGAAAACCACCTGCAATTTGAGGATCACAAGACTAAATAAGAAAAGTAAACAACGTGACGAGATGAATAATTTATACATCTTGGTGAAGATATGTTCTTGAAATAACACAAAGGATTAGTTCGTCCACGTGTTGAATATAAGCATACAATAAGGTATCCACGGAAAACTGACCTATGCTGCACTACCTCAGACCGAAACGAGATATGACAGATTTTTATTACGAAAGCATTGTATAGAGGTTAGACTTTTTATACCAAAATAAACTATAAGCACAACAAGCCTCACTTCAAAAAATATATATACAAAGAGCTGAACGAAATTTAAAACAAAATCTTTTTGCATGAGAGTAATCTATGTATGGAACAACCTTACTGCGTTGTTGAAACGCTGAGATTTGGTATTCAACTACAAAGCTGAACCAGTGAACGGTTGAGTTGTACAACCACTGCAGAATGACGAAGGCCTAGTAAAAATATATAGAGAGAAAGAATTGATATGTGGAAACATAGGTCTAACCGTCTTCGTCCAGTATCTCTATTATGAAACGAGTATACCAAATACAACATTTCTCTTCACTTTATTTTTGTCAAGTAGTGTTCAGTTCTCTGTATAAACATTTCCCTAGTTCAAACATTAAAAACTCCTTATTTATATATA